GTGTGTGTGTGTGTGTGTGTGTGTGTGTGTGTGTGTGTGTGATATACAGATACCAAAGTAGGTCACATGTTAAAATATAAAAAAGATTATTTCAATTTCAGATTAAAATGATTTTTTGGATGAACCCGACGCTCTCAGAAATTCACAGAAGTTGATTCTGCAACACACGTGGTTTCAATTACAGCATTCCTTCTTCTACGATGCAGGTGGTGTGTGTGTGTGTGGGGGGGGGGGTCCTCACTTCCTGTGTGTGCATTACTCCAGTGGTCAAGCATGAACAGATGTTTTAATGTACTAAATTGTTTACTCGTAGGTGTCACTCTGAGAAAAATGTTTTGGTTTTGGTCTYAACAAAAAGACATTATAACTTCTGCTTGTGTCGGGGGGCTTTATTTCCACTTGTTTTAATGTGGATTCATGGTTGCTATATATTCAGTTTCAGTATTTGATCATGTTTAATAAGAATTAAAATAAACACTAAAAAAAAGTCAAATTAACTACTTTTACTAAGTTGGTATTATCAGGAACAAATTTTTACACAATCCACCGAATTCCTTTGATTTAGTTCATTCTAGCCTGGTGCAGCATGATTCCTTATACCACAAATTATCATTATTATTATTTTTTTTTTTGCAAGAAAACAACAAGTGTGGATGTAAATAATTGACACTGAAAAAACGTGCATTTGGTTCATTTGCAAGACAAAAGGTCTCTAGTGAAGATAAAAGTACGATAGGTGTTTTAAAGGACATTTTTAACAGGAAAAACAACCAATAATAAAAAAGAGTTTAAGTGCTGGACTTTTAGGTACTTTTGACAGAATACAGGAATGTACAGTATGCACAGGGAGGGGAAATCTGAGTTAAGCTCACTTCAGTTTYGGGCTCAAACAAAACGGCTCCTCTTTCATTCCTAAATGAGGTTTTACATTTGAGGAGAGCTGATGCAAAACAGCTAGCACATGCAAGAAACTATGATTTGAATACTCCAAGCGGCAACTGCCAAATAGGTCACGATGTTGGCAGTAGTTTGGAAACAGAGTCAAAGACAAAGAACAGTTCTGACGGCAGGACCTGTTGTTAAACAGAGCCTCTTCACTGGAAGATCCAACAGAAGCATTCATAATTCTGAATCTGCATCACACMGCCATGCAAACAGTCGGTGCATTCCTCATAAATGTCATGCTTTTTGTGTTTATGAGTCATGAGAGTAACCTCAGTGTGGCCCAGATACCGCCAGAGTCACATAAAGATGCAGAATCTAAACAACCATAATGAGGAAAAACTRAGTTTGCTTAATTCCCTACATGRTGTTTCAAACCCAGACACAGGCTGTAAAAGTGTTTCCTCTACACGCGTGGCTTGAAATGAACGTGTGTGTGGTGACTGTGCTGCAGAGGGTACGTTCCCTCGGGGAGGTGCACGTCTGGCAGATTAGGCCAGGCATCATAGGAAACGTCTGGGATCCTCCTGACTGATTTCATGTGACCTCATTGAAACCCCTTCATATGCTCCAGTCGCCACGGCCATGCCCAGGGGCCAATCACCTCCTCCATCTGTAATTACCCACCCCCCAACATCCCTAACCTCCGTTTCACCATCTTCCTTCACGTCAAAACTTCCAACTGGTTGTGCAAATGCTCATTCAGCATTCACACTGCTGTCTTCCTGTTTTTATTACAGTCTAATCACTTCTWCACATTTGTGCTATTTTAGCCTTTCCTTATCAGAAGGTTCAAGTGACTCTGGTGATGTGTGCTCTGACTTTTAACTTAGTTTAACCTAACTTTCATACTTTTAAAAACATTTAACCTATTGTACAAATATTCCCCATAAAAATACATGCTTTATTTCCATCTACAAGTCATTGCTGCAGCACACTTTATTATCTTCATATACTACTTACACTCTGTCTTTGGCTACTTTCAGCTTTTATCCAGACTTTTGCTATACATCTAGCTTTTAGCTAGTATTTAAACCCTTTAARTTCTAGATTTGTCCTATTTTTAGATAATAGCTACTTTTTATTTAGGCTTTTATTCAGCCTTTTTGGTTTCCAATAATTTTAGCTCGTATCTAATATTTRGTTAATTTTAGCTWGTATTTTGCTGCTTTTAAGTTAGRGTTTTCAAATCAAATCTTTAGCTACCCTTTTACTACATCTAAGTTCTAGTTATCTTAATCTTTAGCTTTTTAACCTACTTTCATCTAATTGCTACCCTTTAGCTYCTTTTAGAGGGTTGCTCTTTTTTGTTTTTAACTACCATTTTTCTACTTTTAGCTTGTATGTGATATTTTGTTTGTTTCAGCTGGGGTTTTGCTACTTTTAGTGTTTTGTAAATCAAATCTTACCCTTTAGCTATTATGCTTTCAGTAAGCCTTTTGGTGCATTTGCTACAATTTCTTTTGACTTTTAGCTCGTGTTTAATATTTTGTTAGTTTTAGCTAGCCTTTCTGCTACTTTTAGCTTTTGCTACATCCAGCTTCTGTTTGTATTTTGAATACTTTTAGGTTCCAGATTTGACCTGCTTTAGTTATTTAGGCCTTTTAATTAATTTAGCTACCATTTATCTACTTTTAGCTTGTATCWAATACTTTTAGCCAAGGTTAGTTAATCAAATCTTTTAGCAAGTGTTGTGTTTTACTACTTTTAGCACTAGTGCTTTTTTCCTGTTAGCTTTTAGCTGTTTGGCATCTTTCCTTTTAACAACTCAGTTATGTTTTCAACTAATTCCATCAGTCCTTCAGCACTGACACCACATTTTTGCCAAAAAAAAATATATATATATATACTGTATATATAAATTTCTTTATTTAGCTTATATTATTTTTGATGGCCTTTTTTCTCAATAATCTGACTAAGCCAAAGGTTGTGAGCCTCCCTGCTGTGGACGTTGATCAGGGTTAATTTTTAGCTGCATGTCGGTGACAGAGGTCACAGGAAGCACAGAGGGGCAGGATTTCCTCCCTCACTCTCTGCAGTTTCAAGTCCATCACGTCTTTCCTGCCACCGGCTGATTGAAGGGCAACGCTGAGTTGATTTTCTGGGTCCAAGGACACGTATGAGTGGAGGCTTTATTTGGACTCACAAAGGCAGCAGTGTACGCCGGAGACCTTGAATGTAAAGCTGTGAGCGGGTCCCCCCACGTCTGAAGTACGTTCTTTCAAAATCTGCTGCAGTTACATAACAAACCATACAGATACATTTACTCACTATATGGTTCATGTTCAGGTTGTCCAAAGAGCAACATGTTGATGGAGTGCTAAGTCATGATTTGAACAAAAGGTTTTCAATACAAACAGGTGAAAAACAAACCTGGATCACAAGTCAGAAAATAATGCACAAGTAAAGCAAAAAGTCACACAAATTCCTCCCATATTAGCTGTATTCATGACTCCATCCCCCAGRCTTTTTTGTTTGCTTGTTTGACCTGATTTAAAGCAGCAAAATCCCAACTCCTTCACATTTCCCTCCATCTCCTTTGCACCCCCCCCCCCCATTTGATTTAAACTGGAGCTCATAACAAAATCAGATTTTTTTAAATAAATAAGATTTATGCTCCTTCTCCTAAAGCCAAAAATACTGAAATCTGTGTTTGATATTCTTTGTTTCAAGTAGAACTTTAGATTCCCTGCACAAGTAGGAAATTTGAAAAAGAAACTGCACAATAATGTTGCAAAAATGGTGACTGGATTAAAAAAATGGTTCTCATAAACATCCTTACAGTAAGTATTGTCTTGACCAAAGAAAACAGGAATGATGAGTGTTCATAAGTACTGTCTGACCAACAACATCAGCACACATTTGAAATATGTAGTTTAACTTTGTTAGGGACAGCTTATTGTAAACTAAAAGACAAATTTCAAAAGCCCTCATGAAAAGAAATCTTCRAAAAACTGTGGACTGAGTTGTGTTGTAGGATGAAAAACTGCACTGCAGCTGCCACTTCT